CTATGGGGGTCAAGAGTAATTATCCCCAAAATGTTACAAAAAGAAGTTTTAAGAACTTTACATGATACTCATCTTGGTTCTTCCAAAATGAAGAGTCTAGCAAGATCATGGTTCTGGTGGCCACATATGGATGCTGATATTGAAAAATATGTAAAGCTTTGTTCAAGCTGTGCACAACATTCAAAGCAACCAGCTACAGCACCTTTGCAAAACTGGGACTGGCCAATCGAACCATGGAAACGTATACATATAGATTTCGCAGGACCTTTCATGAACAAAATGTTCTTAATTGTTATTGATTCACATTCTAAATGGTTAGAAGTTAAAATCATGAACACAATCACTGCAAATGATACCATTATAGAACTTAAGGAAATATTTTCATCTCATGGATTACCAGATCAAATTGTTTCAGATAATGGGCCTAGTTTTACAGCTCATGAGTTTAAACTGTTTTGTGTGGCAAATGGTATTGAGCATATAACCACATCCCCCTATCATCCTGCTGGGAATGGTTTGGCTGAAAGAGCGGTAGGCATATTCAAAACCGCTATGGTAAAAATTAGTACCGGTAACAAGTTTTCTCTTAGAGAAAGAGTAAACAGGTTCTTAACCAAATACCGCACAACTCCTCATATAACAACAGGTGTTGCACCATGTGAATTGTTATGTGGTAGGAAAATTAAAACCCACCTTGATCTACTACATCCAACTGTTCAAAGGTCTGTTTCCCAACATCAACATACGCAAAAAGTAAATCATGACAAATCATCCATTGAAAGAGAATTTGGAGTTAATGATAATGTGTATCTGAGAAATTATGGGAGAAAGGAAAAATAGATACCAGGTCAAATTGTTCAATGTACAGGACCTGTGTCTTATAAAGTAAAAACAAATGATGGACTTATTGTCCGTAGACATGCAGACCAGTTAAAAATAACTTGTGCAGATAATAAGTGTGAATCTATCAATCCCACCAAATCTGATCAGTTCACACCAACTCAGTTTGTTCCACAACCAAGTTCTGTTGATATGAGTGAACCAAGTAGTCTGGAGTCAGAAAATGTAAATTCTGGAATTAATGATTTTGATCCTAGACCTCCTGAGATAGAGAATCCAGATGGTCAGAATCTTGAGTCACCAAATCAAAAGCCACTGAGAAGGTCAAGCAGGACAATCAAAGTCCCAAATAAGTTAGACCTATGATTTTAAAGGTCAAAAGGACTTTGACATCATTGTTTTGTATTTTAATTATGTTGTAACATATTGTGCATTGTTTGTAAGGATGTAATCTACCATAGTGTTCATGTTACAATATAATTGGTGATTTTAGGATACTGCAAATTGTTCTATTGAGAGATGTGTTGTGTTTACTAAGAGTAAAGGGATGTAATATAGTGAGACTTGTGAAGTCAAGGGAACTCATTCTTCTTGTATTAGTATTAAATGTATACTGTTATCTTGAGTGATGTCCCTTACATGTATATATATCTTTGTCTCTCGTCACTTCCGCCCTCTCTCGTTATCATCATGTAGTGGAAGGCCAATAAACGTTTTATATACAACCACATGCTTCTATCGTCAATCCATTACAAGTAGGATGTCAATATTGTGTTTATTTATTATGTTGTTTATATAATGTGTTTGTCCCTAGCCCCCCTGATGTTCAATGTTGCCAGAGTTAGCATGAATTATTTGGGGTTTTCTTTCGAACATCTGTTTCTGGAGGGCTGGATGGTGGTGGTCTTTTAACGCCAAACTTTCCAGCCGCTGGTTTGCTATCCCGTTGGGCCCTGGTCACGACCCTTTGAGGTGGCTTTACTGTAGGTAATTGATTTTTACTTGAACTGATTGCTTGACTATATGACAGTTGACCTGATACCTTTGTTGCTGATATACTTTGTGAGCTTTTAATTTTCTTTAGCGGTTTCGTTATGTTTTCTGAACTAGTGTTATCTTGAAGAATATCATTTATTGTTTCGTCGACAGCCTCCACATTTTCTTGATTCCCATCTTTTTGAGACCCTGTTACTATGGAATTTCTGATCGCTATTGTCTCCATGGCTTCGGCCTCTATGGTGGTTTCTGTTACGCTTTCGTTAACTTGCTGTGATGCTGCAGTAGTATGATGTGCTTCAGTTTGGCCATCTACTCCAAAGGCATCTTCTACCTCTATATGCCTTGCTTCTCTAAGCATTTCATTTTGTCTTTCTCCGTCAACATCATAACTGTCCCAATGCTTTAAGAAATTTCTATTGTTACTTAGATGCTCCCTAACTTCTTCTTTATCATTTGCATCCCAAGGCTCAATTGCCCTGTACTGTCCATCTACTAGCTGGACGCCGTCAAGAGCGCGAGTCCTCAAATGCTCACACATTTTAGGCAGGTGTCTGTCTGTGTTGCAGTGGCAACATTGCACCCTCCTCCCATTGAGGATTATAAGGACTCTGCTCTCCTTGTTGGCCTCAGATTTGTTTTCGTATAAAATTATGTTGTACGGTATATGCTGTATTGATGAATTACAACTTGGTAGCATGATGACGAACTTGAGCTGAAACGTCTGTTATGTCAATATATGTTTTTCATTCTTAATATTAACGAAACATTCATTACATTAACTAAAACAGAGGTCTTTTTGTACTATTATTTGTTAGTCTACAATAAAGTAAATAAATTACATGTATATTTCTAGCATTTTATTTAATTTTAAAAATGTTTTAAAACTTCTGCCTTTTTTAGAAACAAACCAGCTGTCATATTAAGTTACCGCCCTTTACCGTTCTTATCATAACATCCTCATCGATTAATAGATTAACTTTCCCAAGCGGGATAAAAACTCGCTCATTCTTATGTTGACAATTTTCATGGATTACCGCGTGTGTGGCTAGCAGACTACTTCAGGTAAAAAATTCCGTTGTCGATTTAACATCAGAGATTAAAGTCTTAGTAAACAGTTAAAAGTCCCCCCCCCCCTCCCCTCCCCCTCTGTTGTGTTGTTTTCTCTCATGATGTGGAGGTGGGCCTCGGTAGATACTGAATATTGTTTTATTTTAAACTGTGAAAACAACCAGACCTACATTTCGCACTACTGAGTATGATACAACACCACTAAATGATGAATTATTCAGATATATGTTATATAAAAAAAAAAAAAAACTCAATGATTTTTCACTTTAGAAAAAAAAAACAACAATTAAGCCAACCAAAAACACAACTGAATCCAAATTTAAAGGGGAAATAAAAAAAACAAAACAAAAAAAAAACAAAACAAACCAAAACAATTTTAACAACAGCAACAAAACAAAAACAAGAAAAAAAAACTTGTAATTCAAAGAAAATAAGAAATAAATTATTTATTAAAACAATTATAGTCTAGGATACGATAATTTGGTTGAGTAGGGACTCAAAGCCACGAACATTATATTCAGACGAATGAAGCTTAAGCCAAATTATATATATATATATATATATATATATATATATATATATATATATATATATATATATATATATATATATATATATATATATATATATATATATATATATATATATATATATATATATGTGAGTGTGTAGTTACTAATACTGACACAATTTAAATCCATTCAAAAGTTAAACATTCTTACTTTTAAATCTGCTCCGCGAGAAAATAAAATAATACGACCGTTAAAAAGATTTGCATGCGACAAAGCTAGATAGATGAATCTTTTATTAATCGTCCACCGCTACGATATTCCTCTGTAACAGATGTTGAGAGTACTTTAGAGGGGTACACACAGATGTGTATAACAACAATGCTTTTATACTGTTTAGACTTTAAATCAACCGCTGGAAGTTTGTGCGAGGTTGTAAATGGATTGGATTGTAAAAAACACTGTAAAGTAAGTTTCATATTCATCTTTTCCCGTTTGTGCATTGTGCAGGTGAAGGAGAGCTCATCTGTTACATGGCCTTGGCATAGAGATTATGAGGTCATCCATACACCCAGCCGCCTTTGTTTCCCTAACGTGAGTTACGTACCCGTCACAGCTGGGTGGACTCAAGGATTCTATTGACATAAACCCGGTTTCGAACTCGAGACTCTTGGTCCTCTCAGCTCTAATGAGTACCTGACTTAAGCTAGGGAAAGTAAAGGTGGGTGGGCATAGTGATGACCAAACCATCCCTTTTTTAAGTCAATAAACAAATAAACTCTACTTGGTCTGCCCTATGGATAGTATTAAAATATGAAAGGGGGATTTTTATTTACTTTACTTTCTCCTTAATATATAACGAATAAGTTATAAGGCGAAGTTAATCATTGCATTGGTAAATGAAATTTGACAAATATTTAAGATAGTGAGAATTCTAAGGTAGTCGTATACAATAATGCCATTTAGTTCATAATTTTAAACTTTGTTTCAGATGAGGCAACTAATATAGACCTACTTTGTAGAAATGTAACTACGAATACAGATTTAATAAATGAAGAAAACAATTCCCAAGGTTTGATCAACTACTCCATGTAGCCTACTTGTCAACACCAAGTTCAGACTGCTAGATGAAATTGAAAGAAAAAAAAACACTTTTAAAAATGAATTGTTTATATTCTTATACTTTACAAAAACAAAAGCCATATCTCGATCGCTGTATAAAACCTTTCATCAGACAATATTGTTTTTATAATTATTTCCTTTATTCTTACAATTAACTTTCTTACACAATAATAATATACTTTTTTATATAAACTAGTCCTCGATTTTGCTTCGTTGAGGAGGAGATATGACTTAAAGCTGCGAACACACATCCATAAATTCATTCATACATCCAGAAATGACGTAATTCTCCAGAATGGAAATTGCGCTAAAAACCTCAATAGTATACTGCTTTAAAGAGCAATCCAGATGTCATTTTTAAACATCTAAAACAATTTATGAAGCATGAAACGATTCTCCCGTAGAAGATGTCGGTACTTAGTGCTAAGTTTACTAATCATAGTGACGATATTTACATTTTTGATGCTATATACATGGCAGGAATCAGAGCTAGACTCTGGAGATAAACTGTTTAGTCTGAACAGCGAAAGGGAAGTCAGCAACAGAGATACTATATTAGGGGAGACAACTCCGAATGATTCCAACAGCACTTACACATTGACGTCCCCTACTCTCAAACCCGGTGTCTTTTTGCCAGAACATTACGTGGATTTAAATGCCGAGTTGCAGAAATCAGATATAGTTTACGAAGAAAAAACGCAAAATCTGATCAGAATAACGGAAGTGAGTTATAGTAATACATCATTAACAGAGACAAAGGACAACAAGACTTATACAGCGACTTCACCGAGTCTCAGCAGAGAAGCCGAGATTGAAGAACGGAAGTTGAATTTGAACGCCGATGACGTCATAATTTTCCTGCACATCCAAAAAACGGGCGGGCTGCATTTCAAGAACATGCTCATCAAGTGGACGCTCGGCGTGCCAGGATGCGCGTGCATGAGGACTGGGAACGAGTGCACGTGTCGCACGTGGACTAACGTCACGTGGCTGGCAGCCTGGTTTATGGACGGCTGGACGTGCGGGCTGCACGCGGATTGGACGGAACTGACCGAGTGTGTGGACCCGTGGTTTAAGTCGGTAGAGCCTCAGAGGTCACATCGGAAGTGAGTAGTCGTTATACTTTAGCATTTAATCTTCTAAAGATTGCATCGAATAACTGTATCTTTGGCAAACATAAATATACCTACCTAAAAGTTTGCTACCGTTACATCATCTAGCTATCTTTCCTTACCTTCCACTAAATCACTTATCCGATTCTTTACCTACCAGTGCATCATCTAGAGTATTTTAACTACCACTACATCACTTACCTGTTTCTTTAACTACCATTACATCACTTACCTTTTTCTTTACTTACCAATACATCACTTACCTGTTTCTTTACCTACCACTGCATCACTTACCTGTTTCTTTACCGACCACACCATCACTTACCTATTTTTTACCTACCACACCATCACTTATCTGTTTCTTTACCTACCACTACATCACTTACCTGTTTCTTTAACTACCACTACATCACTTACCTGCATCTTTACCTACCACTACTACATCATTTGATGTATTTTAACTACCACAACATCATTACCTGTTTCTTTACCTACCACTACATCTTTTTCCTGTTTTTTTACCTGCCACTACATAACTCACATGTTTCTTTACCTACCACTACACTACTTACCTATTTCCTCAGCTACCACTACATCACCTACCTATTTCCTCAGCTACCACTACATCACCTACCTATTTCCTCAGCTACCACTACATCACCTACCTATTTCCTCAGCTACCACTACACTACCTACCTGCGTGAACCAGTTCAGCGGTTCATCAGTGAGTGGCACCATGTCAGGCTAGGTAACCTCTGGCCCAAAGATTACCTGTGTAATGGTAGGAAGGCATCATGGAGTGAACTGCCCAGGTGTGCTAGAGGTGGGGTGCTGAGGAACATCTCTCTTGACGAGTTTGTGGCATGCGAGTAGGTACCGGTTCTAGGTATTGCTGTTTATACAGGCGATTAAAATTTAGTATGGGATGGCATGGTTGAGTGGTAGAGCGCTCGACTTCTAGCCTATGGGTCTCGAGTTCAGATCTCGGTTAGAACGTGAGAGTCGAACGTCCCTGAGTCAACCCAGCTTTGATAGGTACCTGGCACACGTTAGGGAAAATAGAGGCGACAGGGCATAATGCTGACCACAGTATCCCTAAACATGTGACCTCGACGCACCTGGCCTATCGATCATTGTCTGAAAGGGTAGAGTTACTTTACTTTATGTAATTGAGCAACGTCGATATAGTTCCAATTCGTATCTAACTCAGGTTATGGGAAGTAAAGTCGACGGTGCGTAGATGGGTCTAGGACAATACCCCACCCCCTACCGTCATTTAACCCCCCGACATCCCCCCACCCCCACGTATTCATTAATGTTAATGGCCCCACTTCTTAATCCCCTCTAGCGCCATCCTGAACAACCCTAACACTAAACCTAATCCCAAGCCCCAAACATATATATATAACTAACCCTAACCACAATTTTAATCAATTTCTAAACCAACATCTAACCTAAACCTGAATCTAACACTAACCTTTACCCAAAATCTAGCCCTAACCCTAACCCAAACTCTAAAGGCTGAGGGGAAGGGGGTGGGGGTGGGTAATTGACTAAGGTGTAATTGCTCCGGGAGGGATATAATGTTGGTATTTTTTAGGGGTTGGGGAAATATCTGAGGGGTAATTGACTGGGGGCATGACTTACTCCCGCGTAGATATAACCTCACTATCCTTTCACAGACTGAAATAACAGAAACAGGCGAACTGTACTTCAACTGCTCTATTTGTCGCCTAGTCCGAAAGAGCAACTTTACTGTTATTGAAACAGAATCGACTGCTTAAGTTTCTTTGATTTTATCTTCCCCAGCCATAACCTTGGCTTTAACCGCATGACCAGAATGCTGGCTAACCTGTCTTTGGTCAACTGCTACAACAGAACTGGACTCTCCAAAGACTTCGTGGACAAGACTCTACTCAACAGCGCCAAGGAAAATCTGCGGGCCATGGAGTTCTTTGGCCTAACAGAGGAACAGGAAAAATCTCAGTTTTTGTTTGAGGTCACGTTGGGTGTGTTGCTGGCCAAACGAACGTGGTTGAACTTGTATACCAGAGCGTCAGAGATCCATATCACGGAGGCAATGCTGTCAGTCATTAAACTACACAACCAGCTGGACATTGAACTTTATAACTTTGCTCGGGGATTGTTTACACAAAGAGTGATGGAAGCAGAGTTGAGGGTTGGTTGTAATGCGAGTGTTTACTTTCAAAGAAGATTTGGTGGCTTGTAATTTTTTATTTTTATTTTTTTTTATTTTTTATTTTAGTGGTTAGAATGACGCTGAAAGGTTCAGTCAGGGGTCTCCAAACTTTTCAGCCAGAGGGCCGGATTAACTATCAAATGTACGTTCGGGGGCCAGAATTTCTTCCAGGCATCTCCTCGGGGAGGCGAAGCCCCCCCCCCCCCAACAGAATATATATATATATATATATATATATATATATATATATATATATATATATATATATATATATATATATATATATATATGCAAATTTCAAGTGCGCGCCACCGAGAAAAAAAGTCTGAAGAAAGAAACACTGTCGGGGACCGACAACACGCTCGAGGTCCAAGTTTGTTCTCAAATTGTTCTTCCCGTAGGCATACTTCATTCTTGATAAAGTTTGTATGTTGATCCAACATTTGAAAGGTACTTTGAGGCAAACGTTTGAATATTAGGAAAGTCTTCCTTGGGCAAATACTTGCCCTTATTTGAACTTGTCTTTAAAGAGGTCATTTTTGCTGGGCAACTGGCCACATTTACTTCAATGTTATTTGCACCCAATGCTACATTTTCAATTTGTTATGAATTTTGCCTCAGCCACCTTCAACAAACATTCTTTTTCCGCGGACAAAAAGATCTCCGAGGGCCGGATGAGAGGACCTCGCGGGCCGCGGGCCGTAGTTTGGAGACCCCTGGGTTCAGTCAGTAACCATTGGTGGCTTGTATTTTTTTTTTTTTTTTTTTTTTTTTTTTGGTGAAAGTAACAGAAATTGAGAAACGTACTGATAGAAGGTCTACATTATTAACTGTAACTTATTATTATATGAATTTTTTTTTCAGATAAATAGACAAAGTGTTTAAAAATTGATTCTTTTGTTTTATTTAAACTAATGGGAAATAAATTCTAAAACTTTAGATTAGTCATGTATGATTTAATTTTGTTTTAAAACGATAAGTGTTGAATCTTAAAATATCTAAATGGAGTCCCTTTGTTGTTAAACGTTTGTATGGAATTAGAAAATTCATGAGTGGTGCCCCTTTGCTATAAAAATAAATGCTTATTTATTTATATTGACAATTCTCCCAAGAGGTTTTCTTTTGGTGCGTTGAACCAGATGTGTTAATCTGTGAAATAGTATTTCCATCAGTGTTTTAAGTGTTTCTCCAAGACTACATTAATATTCTGTCTACATAACGAATTTAATGGAAGCGGCTGTGAATAGGCGTATTTGAATGTAGAAAAACAACTTTCATTATGCAATTGGAGAAGTGTTTATCGTTGAGACAAGATTATTGTCGAGAACGTAAAAGTCGAACAAAACCTATCACTGGCTAAAAAAATTACACCACATAATACATATAGAAACAATTTATTCAAATTAATTTCAATTTATTCAATAACAGTAACAACAGTAAAATTTCATTATGAAATAATGTTAAATTAAAATAAAATAGTTTAATACTACAGAAAGTATTTACACATATGTCCATACGTCTGTTAATTTATGTTGACTTTTTCTAAACATGACTGTATGTCTGTACTCTATATATGTATATGTTTAAACATAAACTATGTATCTCTGTAAATATCTCTGTACATTCCACATTAACTTCCTCTACGCTCGATCATTCAACCTTTCATATTGCTATAGCTTTACATATTAACACTACATATATCCACATCAATTAACTGCTACAGATCAATATATCAATGCATGCAATTATGTGATGCAATTGTCATATTCGTGTTTTAAATCAATAACATTTAATATCAATCTAATGACGATTCATAATGTTATTCAAATCTCATTCCTGCAACATACGTTAGTAGTTATACTCGTACAAACATGAGCGTTGACTTAATTGCTATTTCATAAAGTAACATATCGACTAAAAATAATTATTTATGCTTGATATGAACTAAATGACTCGTCAATGAACAATTGACGAAACAAACTGCGATGAATAATTTTGAATCATTTGTATACAATTTCAGTATTAAATAATATATACTGCTAATGTATATTATTTGATCGATTAATTATATTCTGAGCGGTTGCTTACACATACTGTGGGGTAAGACAGACTTTTAGCCACATACAATCATGGATTCTGGACATACTAAAATGAAGTTCCATTTTCGAATGAACAAGTGAAGTAGAGTTCACGTGTCTCTGTAACCTAGACATATGAAAGAATAATAAGGTCAGCACTATTCCCAACCGCCTTTTCTTTTCCCCAACTTGAGTTAGATACCCAAAAGAGCTGGGTGGACTCAGGGACATTATTCTGACTTGAACCAGTATTCGAACTCGAGACTTTCGCCACGAACTATTTCTTCATTATAATATGACATAGGTAAATGTTTCACCTTAGGTTACTGGGTGTGATTAATTAAAGTCTGTTAACTACGTTTCTGTGTTCGTTACGAACAATCTATGAAATTAATCATACATCAACAATAAGGCAATCAAAACACTTCCCACCATTTGCCTTTACCTGGAATCTTTTATATTTACCAACACAATGACTAATATCTCGGTTAAGCCTCGTATCGAACAGGAAGCACACAGCTTAAATCATTCCTTCATCGCTGTCGATTTCCTTTGTTTTAAATTCAATCCATATTAAACATTGACGCTTGACCTGTTTCCGGTTAGATTTGAATCAATGACTAAAATTAATTTCCAATAAAATGAGTTGTATTCTCTAGTACAAACCAATTAAAATTGAATATGATACAGGTACATAGACGAAGTTTCATAACTGCTTTAGAGATTATATGTAATTTGATAAACTGGGGGGTTGGCGTGGTCGAGTCGGTAAAGCTCATGGTTGCTAAACCGAAAAGGCTCGTTAGCTTCCTTGTGGTTTAGACAAAAAGAAAAGCAGGCTGAAATTGGAGTCAATGGCCTCATTGGCGCATAACTAGTTGACACGTATACTTAATTTTATTGGAGGTGATCCCTTTTCCAATATTAAATTAAGAACCAAGAAGAGAAGAAGATAACTAAAATGACGTTAAGATCACTGCAAAGATATACTCACAATATAAAGTGCACTTTATTGTATACGGAGACAAATAGCTTGGTACATTGTGCAGATAAACTGTTTTTTGACAGTTAGTCGTTTTAAAAAAGGTAAGTTTTGATTTCTAGAAGAATTTATTTTAATGAAAAACATCAGTAGCTTTAGGTTCTACTTCTCCATTCTTAATTTTAATGTTGGACGTAATTCCTTCCAACGTAATTAGTTTACTTGATTAAATTAAGCACTACGTGTCGAAATCATATTGTTCCGTGCCATATTGGCTTTGGCTACCCTATTGTGTTTCTTCCAGAATTTTTTCTCCGTACGACGGGGGTGGGGGGGGGGGACGCACAAGATATTTTCGGAAAGATGGTGGAGGGGCGGACAATATTTTCCGGGAGGGGGAGGGGGGAGGGGGTAGGACGGACACTGATAAAAGTAAATGTTTTCAATAATATAATTACCATTTTGATCGGGGGTAGGGGGTGGGGTGGGGGAGGGTGGGTTTTTTTTTCGGGGAGCAGACATTCCCCCCCCCCCCCCCGAAGAGATGGCTGGAAGAAACTCGCTCCTATTTCAGCGTGGTTTTTATCATGGATTTCCATGAACTTTGTCGATCCAAGAACAAAGTACAAGACAGCAATTGTTTGATTTTGGAGTTGTCTCTCTTAGATAGAGTTGTTGTCCCCAGTTGTCATGGACACGCACAATGTGAGGGCTTAAGGGACATCACCTCGTATGACACATGTATAAGGGCCATACTGTGGTAGGGGGATGTGTGGTATGTGATGTGAAGATGAATTATTTCTATTACTATTACAACTATAACCATGTGATGAGGACGGGAACACTCTTATTTCCGACGACACTAATGATATCAACAAGCCCGATCATGAAATATAATTAACTTTATTATGATTCACTAATACTAGATCTACACTACTACAAAACATAACCACGTCATTTTCCTACTATGGCAAAACCCCCAACTGTCTTCACTCCTGCGTCCTATGTCATTGGTAACATTGTCGCGTCACAGTCACGTCACACTCACGAAACAAATATTTTATTAAACACGAGCACATACTCTCGAACCAAATCGTCTACCGTCAAGTTTACACCGTCCTTATTAATAGCTATCAGTCTAGTCTTATATCTTTATACGCTATGACACCCACATCAACAAAACTCTTTAACAGTGTTTCTTCCAGACTTTTTTCTCCGGGGCGGGCACTTGAAATTTTCGGGGGGGGGGCGGTAGACTTTCTTCGGGGGGGGGGGGGCGGACACTGTTAAAAGTATATATTTTCTATATAAGTTATATAAATTTCATTTCGTTCGGGGGAGCGGTAAAAAAATTTCGGTGAGCTTCGCCCCCCCCCCCCCCCCGAAGAGATGCCTGGAAGAAACTCTGCTCTTTAAGGTTAGGTTAGCATAAGTCGATTTAATCATTAATTTTATCCTTTTTACTACCAAGCGTCACCTCAAACTATCATGCCTTCCGCTCACAAGACACCAGCTGTAGCTCGACCAGTCGCTTCCCTTGTTACCCATGGTACCTTGGTTACCCTCGTTCACTCCGTACAACAACATACACGTCAACACACCCGGGGGAGATAATCGAGTAAATGTAATACATTTTGTAGTTCTATACACTGAGAGTAATTACCGCTGGAGATTGTAAAATACAAAAATACGGATTCATTAAAACTCAAACAAAGAAAAGAAAAAAGTAAATCATTCATATTATAGTATGTTTATATAATTTATTAAAACCACCAAATTATCTTAATTTTGCTAAACATAAACAGAAATAAAATTGTTATAAAAACATTAAACTAAACGTATCGATGAGAATATGTAGAAAAAATACACCTAACACCACTTTATATATTTATATACAATATACACAGATAATGATGCTAATAACTTTATAATTTACTGGCTCTAAAATTGGGCCGATTCTAACTAGAAAAAGATACGCACAAGGACAGAAATTACGACTTTCCTTCGCGGCGATGTTTTCGATGGTACTGCGCATGTGTGTGTTTACAACCTCGGAACCCTATCCCTAACCCCAACCCTAACCCTAACCCTAACCCTAACCCTAACCCTAACCC